TACTACTCTTCTTAATTCAGTGCAAATAAATTTGGAAACTAGGTGACATAGATAATATTCCAGAAGTGTATAATTTACCAAATCTATTTCCAGCAGAAAATTTAAACAGATTTCCAAAATACAAATAGAGAGAGGTGTCAAAGAACCTCCCTCCCCACAACCCCACCAAAATCCACCAAAACAACAAAGTGCCTGAACTAGAGAATTTCATAGGAAAATTCTAACAAAACCTCTAAAAAGCAGATAATTCCAATGGTATTGCAATTGTTCTAGAGTACAGAAAAAGAAGGAGTGTTTCCAAATTCTTTTTATGACATGGACATAAAAGTGACCCCCAAAATCAACAAGGATTGCACAAGAAGAAAACTACCAACCATATTTCAAAAGTTCAACAGAAGGCACTGATAATTCAATATTAGGATATATGGAAATCAATAGTCTTCCTAGTAGTATTCAAACAACAACCAGGTAGTAGACACAAGAGAATGAAAAATCCTTTATTTTCAATAATAACACAAAAAATAAAATGTCTGAGAGGAAACGGGTGAGATCATTATGAAAAAGACTTTAAAATGCTACAGAGGAACACAAAATAAGATATGAACAAAAGAAAAATCATTCCATGTCATTGGGTAGGATGACTCAATATCATAAAGATGTCAATTCTCCCTAAATTAACCTACAATTTTCACACAAGTCTAATAAAAATGTCAGCATCATTTTGTCAGAATAGTCAGGCTGAGTCAAAAGTTCATGTGGAAAAATAAACATGTAAAAATAGCCAAGAAAAGTCTAAAACAGAAGAGTAATAGGGGGAACCAGTCTCTAAGTATTAACACATTACAGAGCTTTAGTAATTAAAACAGCGTGATACTCGCACATGAATAAATAGACAGATCACAGAATAGAATTATGAAGTCCAGGAATAGATATACATCTATATAAGGCATTTTAGAAAAGGTGGCATTTCAAATAGGTAGAGAAAGGTGGATTATTTAATAAGTAGTGTTGAGAAAAATGGGTCAGGAGAAAGAAAAAGAAGATCTGATTTATCCTATTATTAGGTTAAATATTTAATCTAAATTTAATATCCTATTATTAATAGGATAAATCCTAATAATAGGATAAATCCCAAATGTATTAAAATTTTAAGTATTAAAAAAATCAAAATACCAGGGGAAACCATAGAAAGTGGAAGGCCTTTCTAATAATGACATGAAGCTCAGAAGCTATCAAAGGAAAGACCGATGAATTCAATTACATGTTTAAAAAATGCACATGGTAAAAAGTATAACAAGCAAAATCAAGAGGCAAATATCAAATTGGGAGGAAAAAAACATGAATTTATATCACAGACAAAAGGTTAATCTCTCTAATGTATAAAGAGTTCCTAGCAGTCAATGTGAAAAAGACAATCCAATGAAAAAACAGGCAAAAAATGTTGACAGTTCACAGCAAAGGAAATATGAATTGCCCTTAGACATACATTAAGAAGTTTACTCAAGAAAAAGGAAATTAAACCATTTTCACTTATCAGATTGGCAGAGATCAAAGTTCAATAATTCACTGTTTTGGGGAACAAGGTGGGGTAACAGGTGTTCTCATACTTGTTGGTGAGAGTATAAACTGGTACAACTTCTGTGAGGGGCAGTTTGGTAATGTCCATCAAGTTTATAAACACTATACCCTTTTACAAATATATTCTAAGATATCCTTATATGTTTGTGATGTGATGTTTGCATCAAGTTATTTCCTGCGGCACTATTCGTAACAGTGGAAGAGTGGAAGCAGGCTAAATGTCTATTAATGTCCATCACTATGAGGCCAGTTAAATACAGTATAGTACACTCATACAATGGAATACTACACAGCCATACAAAAGCATGAAGAAGGTCTTTACATACTGACTGATACGGAATGATGTCCAAAATCACTGGAGGAAATAGACACAGACATCTCTGACAAGACACACAAGAAACTGCTATACTGGCTGTGTTAGGGAAGGGGAACTGGGTGGCTGAGGACAGGAGTATGGACACTGTTTAGTACATACCTTTTTATGCCTTTTGCATTTTTAAAATTTATAAATAAATAGAAGAGATCATAAGTGCCAAGATGAACTATAGAGATAATAAGTAGTAAAAGAAATAAATACAATAGAGACAATGAATAAAGTTAGCTTCCAACCTCCTATTTCCTTCCCCCGAAATGCACACATCTTCCTCCAATTACAGTGTTGCTGAATTTCATTGGCCCCAACCTTCATCTATGCTCAGACCCTACTGTTTCATTTATCTCAAAAGGTGTCATAACATTTCTAATAATGTTCCAATCAAAGTTATATTAGTACATCTCAATTTCAATATGTGCTATGTGCAATAACAAAAAAGCTTGAAATCATTCATTTGAGGCAATCATAAGAGCACAAACCCATCTTTTGGAAGGTACTTTAAAAACACAGTGGTTAAAATAAAATCTTGCCTGTTGTTTGGAAAATGTGTTATGGGCCATTTTAATACTATTTGTTTGGAGAATTAAAGATGTCCTATCCCAGTATGCTTAACTGTAATAAGCATAATAAAGAAGGTAAGCTTTTAGATAAAATATGAATGAATAAATGTCAAATAAGCATGGTAAACCTGGAGATGCACAAGCCTATGTATTGGGTTGTGAGAAAATACTGAAATTTCTATTTCTATTATTTTATCTTATCCTTATAATGTATAAAGTAGTATATTAATATATAATTTATAAATAATAAATAGGCATGCTTAAATGCCTATTGTGTGCTCAACCTTTTTTATTCACAAAAGTGTATAATCAAAAGGTTTGGTAACCACTGCCAAATGATGATTTTTTTTCACATAGATAAGGAGAAATCACATGCAGTATACAATGTTGTATCAGGCATAGTGAGAAGCAACAGCCACAAATTACGAATTTCTAAGTGAAATACTATTGAATTCATTTCGTACGGCACTTAGCACAATGCCATCTGAAGAGAGATTCCTAATAAATAATAGAATTTTCAAGTTAGAAAAGAATGTTAGATACCCACCACCTATTCCAAATCTTATTTTAAACATGAGGTAACTACAGGCCAGAGAGAATAAAGAATGCTTTCTATGTCACATGGTTGACTCATAGTGACAGAGCCAGCTATAGAACTCAAATTTCCCAACACATGGAGACACATGTGTCTTTCTACACTTGTACACATGTATACAACATGAATATACATGTTCAACATTTCTATACATGTATACAACACATGGAGATACATATATGTGACAAAATGGAGAGGGTCTTTGAAATTATGCAGCAGGCCAACCCAGTATTCTCACTATTTTGTTTTCTCCTATTCCTTTATTTTCTGAGCTTCACTCTTCTATAAGAAAGATATATAGTCACGCCTTGCTTAAGAACGGGGATACGTTCTGAGAAATTCGTGGTTAGGTGATTTCATCGTTGTGTGAAAATCATAGAGTATACTTACACAATCCTAGATGGAATAGCCTACTACACACCTAGGCTATGTGGTACTAATCTTATGGGACCACCATTGGATATGTGGTCCGTCGTTGACTGACTTTGTTATGCAACACATGATTGTAATGGTAATATATCTTCTAGGAGGGTTGTGAGGGTTAAATAAGATGGCATATACTAAAGCACCTGGTAAACTTGATGGACATTACCAAATTGGCCTTCACAGAAGTTATACCAATTTACACTCTCACCAACAAGTATGAGAAGACCTCTTTCCCCACCCTATTCCTCAAAACAGTGAATTATCAAACTTTGATCTCTGCCAATCTGATAAGTGAAAATAGTTTAATTTCCTTTTTCCTATTTATCCATATCTTTATTTTCGTCTTTTTTATTCGGCCTTCCCCAAATCACATCCTGTTTTAGAAAGTGTAATATGTAGTGAATTTCTTTTTTATCATGTTAACTTTTCGAGCCATTCTAAAGGAGAAAAGTTCAAACCTGAATTTAATCCTGTTTTCACCCATGTATTCTAACAGAAACAACCTCTGAACTCTAAATGCCTTTCTTTCTTACCAGTAATCTTCTGAGAACAACCCCGTACAAGAAATATATACCAAACTCTACCCAAAGGAAAAGAAAGGCGAAATGACTTGGGAGTAGATGCTATAGAAGCTGAATTGCAAAGAAGCAATCAGAATTAAAAGTCCATTCTTAAGGGATGATAAGAATGTAAACCTGCAAGAACAGATCCTATATTAACTTCCCAAATCCATTAGCCTGTTTTTGAGTTGAATTTTCTCCAGGGCTCTCAAAGCAGAAATAATACCCTGAGTATGACACAATTGAAATCATGACGTTAAGAAAAAGCTAAAGAGAAATTGAAAGTATTTACCCAGGTAATTCAAACCCATTTTTAATACCTTCATTATATTTGTGTAGTCCCTTCACTATACCTATAGGTGGCATTTAAGAAATCTGACTCTGTCTTCACAAAGACATTGGTTTCAACCATGGCTATGTCACTTAACGGGTTTTGTCATATATTGGGAAACTGATACCATGTTGGGTTAGGAAGATTAAACAGCATAACGCAGATAATCGCTTAGCAAAGTGCCTAGCATATAGTTAAGCACATATAAAACTTAACTCTTGTGTCACACGTCTCTAGACAGGGGAAGTGACATGCCCAAGGTCTCACCTTTTGCGCTATGCAGGAAATTTAGAAAACCACACCCCTCCTCTGAGGATATTGAGAGTTGAGACATTTAGGGAGTGGGCTATATCAGAATTCTAAAAGGACTGGGGGGAAAAAATGGTCTCCAGGAGGGCCAAAGTTGTTGCCACAAAACCGAGCACTACAAGTCCTCCTCCATCTTTTCCTCTGCAGAGGCGGGCAGGAACTACATTTCCCAGCGGCCCTCAGGAATTGCCCCGGCGAAGCACGCCGGCGCTCTGCTTTCCGGCTGCATCTTTTACGTCAGTTCGATTCGAGCACTCCTACGGCAGAGGCCGACTTCCTGAACATGGGTTCTTTCGTCTCCCAGACTTTGGAGTCAGTCAAGGTCGCTGCGTCGCAAGAGGCCGCTCCGTCCGCCAAACCCCCGGCCCTCGCGTCAGCCGGAGCGCCGACTTCTCCAGAGCAAGCCCCTATATTTAATAACTGCTGGAGCTGTCGCGTGCTTTCCGGGTCGGGGCTCATAGGGGCGGGCGGGTATGTGTACTGGGTGGCGCGGAAGCCCATGAAGCTGGGATACCCCCCGACTCCAGGGACCATTACGCAGATGGTCATCGGCATAAGTGAGAGTTGGGGCACGGCTTTTGGGCGGAGGGAGAAGCGGGGCGCACCCACGTGGGTGGGGGGCGGGGCGCTCTGGCTGGGCACGTGGCGGGACACACACACACACACACACACACACACACACACACACACACACACACACACACACACACACACACACACACCCCCCCCCCCCCCCCCCCCCCCCCCCCCCCAGCAAGATGCAGGGGCGGGCAGAAGTTGCGACGCTGGTTTTTTTTACATCACACTATTTCTTGAGAACATTTATTAGCCTCAATCTTTATTAGCTGTTAGAGATATCGATTATAGTAGTCCCATTTTACTGCTGAACAAACTAAGGCACAGAAGTGAGAAATATCGTGTTCAAAGTCAGACATTCCGTGTGACACAGCTGGCCTTTTATCTCAGGTGTATGTGGCACCAAAGCCCATGTTTTTTCTCCACATCCTGGAGAAAGCCTGAGTGAAGGCACTTAACCTTAGTTTAAGAAGTTGGGCTTTGAAGTCAGGTTGTAGGCATGGGTTCAAAACCTTAATACTAGGTGTACCGCTGGGTATTGTGGCCCACAGTCTTTATCTGAAACAAGACTAAGTGATTGTCAAGATGTCCTCGGGTAAAATATTCTTTTAGCTCTATCAAACCAATTGGGTGAATAGAATTTTAGATTTTCAGATCTCTTACCTTCTTAATTAGATTGCTCAAATCAGTTCCCTTTAAGTCCATTTCTTGCTTGGGCAGGTAGTAGGATTTTTTTTTCTCAACTTTTTTTTTATTTTTCCTTTTTTGAGCTGTACTGTTCTATAGATAACAGTCATGTGTTGCTTAACAGCAGGGATATGCTCTGAGAAAGGTGTGGTTAGGTGATTTTGTCATTGTGTGAACATCATAGAGTGTACTTACGCAAACCTAGATGGGATAGCCTACTGCACTAATGATACTAATCTCATGGGACCACCATTGGGCTATTTGGTCCATCCTTGACAGACTTCATTATGCGGCATGACTTGACTAGTACGATATCTTCTAGGAGGGTTGTGAGGGTGAAGTAAGATGGCATATACTAAAGCACCTGGTAAACTCAAGTGCAACATACATGTAAGGTACTCTTGTTTTTTCCTAGGCATTGCTTGTTGGGGTGTAGTCATCCTGTCAGACCCCAAAGGGAAGGCCTACCGTGCTGCTTGAAAGTACCAGCAGTGATTTTGTCATCTTCTGTCCCTGTCCCTGTGACACACAGCAAGCATGGGGCTTATGGATGTTTTGGACAGATACATGGACATCGACAGACTTCAGTCCTGCAGATCCTACAAGACTGAGAAGACAGACACAAGTTGTCATTCTTTGGCTGTGAGGGTTTGTGGCCTTCTCAGACTCCACAGGGATCAATAAATCCGTGAGAGTAGAGACCAAGTTCTGTGTCTTATCTGGGGAAGGAGGATATAATTAAAAAAAAAAAAATAGAAGAAATGATAAACCAAATGGGAAAATCAACTACACTGTTGTTTTAGATAGTTCTTGTTACTTCTCCTGTAATTAGGTTAACATCTGTTATCAACTTAACCCTGGATAGGCATCATGCAATATGCAGAAATACATAAAACTTTGTACCTGTGTACTGCTCATTCTTCCAAAGGCATTCTGAAATCCTTCACCTTATGAGAGTTTCACTGCTACTCAGGTGGTTATTTTATTGGTGGTAAGTGAACCTCAGGAAAGAGCCCTGGTGATTTGCCCACGGTCATTCCGCAAGTCAGTAATGGGGCTAGGACTTGTTCTTATTGAGTTGTGCTTGTTCCAGTCTTTCAGAACTAGGATGGTTCCAAAGAGGCAAGAATTACCCTTATGAAACAATTAGGTAATCATAAAAATAAGCATACAGTAAAAGATTTAAGTGCCAAAATATTTTGAGAGAAATGCACAACGTTTTGTAATTAAAAAAACAATTTTTGGTTCTTTTTTCCACAAGCACTGGAAATGTTTCTATGATGAAATTGAGACGCTTTTGAGATAAGAACTTAAAATTAGTTCATTTCTAAGAGAAATCTGTACTTCCTTCCAGTTCTTTTTCTTTCTGATACACCATGGCTTCTCTATAAAGTTATATGTGGCTATTTTTAAGAGCAGAGAGAGACTCTTAAATGCAGCTGCCAATCACAGTGTGTAAGTTTTGAATGATATGTTGAGCAAGTACCTTTAGGACTGTTACTTTTTCTAGTAGTATGTGGAAGTGCCTGTCTATTAAGCCTCGCAAATAACAAGACTCTTACGTTGTCTACATCAGAGGTCATGGTATGGGTGGTGATATGTATATATATATCTATGCAATTGAGAAGGAAGACATTTTAACCTAAAGTAGACCACAAAGGTATTATTTATGTGAAATGTACAATTCAGTTTTATGATGTTAATGAATATAAAAGTTTTAAATTGGAATGGACCATAGAGGACCCAAAGCAAGGTGCCTCCTTGAGGGCCCATGATACGTGATCATCCCTTAAAATACCAATGAAGACAGGTACTCCCTGCTTTTAAAGGCAGGCCATTCTTTTCAAGGATGGCTGGAGTCTGAACATTTTCTTAGGTTAAACCGAAAATGCATAGGTCTAACTTGTTCTTGGCTTGACCTACTGGATAAGTAGAGTAACTCTTAAACTTTACATTATAATGTAATTTTAACATCTGTTGCAGAATTTGTCCTAGTATGAATCTGTAAGCAAATGAGAGCTTTTTCCAAATAAACTTGCCTGCTCACCAGATATAGTGCCAAAGTATGTTTGGTTCTCCCCACCTTGGGGCCATTTAACCAGGTGTGAGCAAAGTATTTTTCTATCATGTCTGTAGGCAGTTAAGTGGGAATAACCTCTTCACCCCCAAAAAATAGGTTAGTTGAAAGTTGTTTTTTTCTTTTGAAGTGTATCCCAAAATTTGCTTTGATTTCTGCCCGTGCTAAGTTACAGATCTTATTTGTTTTAGGGATGAGTCTGAGCTTCAGAGAGAAAAGAGCCATCCCTTAGTCCTGCAATGCAGGAAGTGTACCTAGTGCTCCTATTATCTTCCCTTTTCTTGGGGGTGAAGTGGGGCGAGCAGGATGAAGAAGCTCAAGGATGTATGGGTTGTTACGCAGTAGTGTAAGAACACCGTCTTAATTATGATTTATGAGCTTTAGAATCTCTTTATAGTATGGAAGTGAGAGTTTATAAAGGCTCATAATTACCTTTAGCAAAGGAGAGAAAAGAAAAAGTACAAAAATGGGTGATTTAAAATGCATTTCCAGTTTTCCTTGAAACACCAAAATGTGAGCATACATGTGAACACTGACATTTTCCATGATGTCCAGACTACCTCTTAGCTCAAATTGTGCATAGTGAGTATTGACTTTGGTATCTCAGGATGCTCAAGAAGTCATTACACAATCTCTTGTTCCTTTTGTGTGTCGCATTGACTGGTCTGGAATCTTGTGACCAGCGAACAAGACGTCTGAACGTAATACAGGTTGCTTATATAGACTGATCCTCAGAATCTTGCTGTGCGTTGAGGGAGGAGGTGAGAGGTCTCTTTTCTCCCAGGCCAATTGCTGTGACAGCTGTTGCTGGTGGCCCTGGAGTGTTCCAAATGCAGATCAATGTAGAAAGTTCTGGAGTTTCACCTGGCCAAAACCAATTGCAGAGACAGCTGTTTCGGGTGGCCCTAGAGGTTAAGCATCTCAGCCATGATTTGTACTTCACCCTCTCGGCTTAGCATTTGCTCCTGGCTCCTTTTTATTACGGTTTCTCAGCCTGGCTGTCTGAATTAGGAGTCTCTTGAATGAAGCCAGTTGATTTGACAGCATAAAATATATTGCTCCTAAATTAAATATATGTTCAGGGCAGACATATGTTCAAGTACCCCCTCAAACCAGGGTTGGCCTCAACTGATTTATTGCTGGGGCTACATTGATCAAACTGACACTTCTCAAATCTTGAAGTCAAGAATAGTAAGCAATTTTGAGTTGAAAAGCTACTTTTTTTTAAAAAAATGACAAATACATCCTTGCCTTGACCCAATGGTTATATAGGTGCTAGGGGTGCAGAGTCAGAGGTGAAAGACCTATAATTATACATCATTCAGAGGTATCCTCAGAGCATGGGGAGAAAATAAGTCACCCTTCTAAAGGCCTGTCTCTTGGCCTTTGAGATACTCAGCAACTTGTCATTCAAATGTAAACGGAGTGTAGAGAAATAGCCAAAAGGGCAAATGTTTAACTCAGCAATGCCGCTAAAACTCACTGCTCAGTCCTGTGAGCAACATTGCATGTGCTTCAGGAATGTGGTAGGCGGGACTCTTAAGATGGTTCAGACCCCTGGTGTACACATACCTTCTCCCAGTTATTCAAACACAATTCTAGGTGCTGTTGTGACGGAAATTGGCAGATGTAATTAAGATCCCAGATCAGTTGACTTCAAGATAGGGAGATGATCCAGATGGGCTCATCACATGAACCCATTAAATCTTGGTCTGGAGGTCAGAGACGGAAGAAAATCAGATCAGATGCAGAGGGGGATTCAGTGCACGAGAAGTCCATTGCGGGCCTGGCAGAAAGCAAACATCCTTGTGAACTGCCTATGGAGGCCACATGGCTAGGAGCTGCAGGCTGCCTGGAGCTGCTGAGAGTGACCACCGCTGACAGGTAAAAAGGAAGGGAGGACCTCAGTTCTACAACTGCAAGGAAACGAATTCTGCCAACAACCTGTGAGCTGGGAAGAGGCCCCTATGAGAAACAAGGATCACAGCCCTGGCTGACTCCTCGCAGCCCAGTGAGACGCTAAGCAGAGTGTCTAGTCGTGCTTTGAAATTGCCAGATAATAAATTTGTGCTGTTTAAAGTTGCCGAGTTTGTGGTAATTTGTTACACAGCAATAGAAAACGAATACAAAGAATCAGGAGTGTTTTGTGGTATCATAGTCACAGAAGGTGGCATGCCAGACCAAATACACATCCCCATTCTGGCTATTCGGGAAGGAGCAAGAAGGGGCCACATGAATAGCATTTGTCTTTCCAGTTACTGTCTTCACTTGTTCTTTTACTGGTGATTTTCTTGGGTAGTTTTTATTTTCTGTTTTCTAGCAGAATTATTCCACTGGTAAATATTAAAAAAATCACAGCACCCTTTTTATGTGGCAAGCATTATGCTAAGGGCTTTTCAGGAATTGTTTAAACTCTGTAACCCTGTTTTACAGATGAAATAACAGGCCTGGAACAGGTAAGAATTTTCCCAAAGCCTCAAGTGAGGAACTGGTAGTGGCTTGGCAAAGAGCACTAATTGGGAACTGAGAATTCGTGTTGCTATAGTCGTTTTCTTAGCATCCATTCTTAAAACGTTCAGGTATCAAAATTAGAACTTTTGAATTTTGATTTTCCATTTTTTGTTTGGTTATCCCTTAATTTAACATATATCATTAATCTTTTGGTTTCCTCTTCTTTATAACTGAGGTTATATCACTTATCACTCTGACAACAACTTACATATTAATCCAGGACAAGAAATTATCATCTCCCTAAACAGGCTCATACCCTTCCATGACTTTAGCCCAATCTCTCTCCTGCCCCTGGACCATTCTCCTGAGCCTCAGACTCTATTTCCCAGCCACCATAAAGCATCCTACCTGTCTGTCTATAGACACCTGAGTCAAAACTTGTCCCAAATGAACTTATCTCCCTCCAACCTACTTTTCTTCCTCTATTTTCTATCTCTGTTCGTAGTATTTCCATCTCATTAGCTGGCCCAGCTAGAAACTATGAAATTATCTATGATTGTCTTGATTCTCATTCTTTACTTCTGATCTGTTAACACGTCCTGGTTATTTTAACACTTTAATGCTTTTTCCTGTCCATTCCCATTGCTGTTGTTTCGGATCAGCTATCATCATTTCTCATGTAGATTACTATAATAGATTCTTAGTTTCTCTTTGCTTCCAGGAAACCCTTCTCATCTGCCCTCCACAATATAGCCAGAGTAACCTTAAAACATGTCCCAGCTTAAAACCCCTCGGTATCGTTGCTGCACAGGAGATGAACTCCAGACTCTTTGGCAGGGTATGGAATGCTTTTCATTAGTTCACCCTCCATGTCTTTTCATCCTCATCTTCCACTCTCTGACTTCTGTTCCACGCACCCCATGTTCCTGCTATTCTTATTTGGCTAACACTTCCTAAAAATGCCATTCTCTGTGCCTTTGTGCATGCTATTCCTTCAGCCTATAATATCCTTTTGTCCCTGCTCTATCTGGAGAAATCCCACTTATCCTTCGAAGCCCATCCCAAATGTCACCTCTCTGGTGAAGCCTTCCCTGAAAAGTCTCTGTGTCGTTAGTTTTAGGGCTGTGGAACCATTACACTTTGTACAGACTTCTCTCACTGCACTTAAAAGATTGCTCAGTGATTGTTTATGCACCTGTCCCTCCCCACTGATTGTGAACTCCTGAAGAAGACTGTGCTTTTGTCATCTTCATGTTTCCTGTCCCCAGCATCAAGCACACCAGGCACTTGGTCGTGTTCAATAAATATTTGCTGAATAAGGGAATAAAGGGCTGAACAAATTAATAAGGAAAGAAAGGGAGATATTTGTTCCATTTGACAATGTTAGTGTATCTCAGTGGTTCCTATTTCACGTATGGTCCCTGGCCCAGCAGCATCAGCATCACCTGAGAACTCACTAGAAATGCAAATTATTAGCCCTATCCCAGACCTACTACTGAATCAGAAGCCCTGGGGATGGAGCCCACCAATCTGTATTTTAACAAGCCTTCTGGATAATATAAAGGAACGCTTAAGTTTGAGAACCACTGGCACAGTTGAAGCTGACTGACCTGTGTACAGCAGATCTCAGCTGTAATATAGTGGAAAGAACATCCGATTGAAGACGTGAGACAGAGGTTCTAATCTCAGTTCTGCCACCAGCTCCTAATATGCTCTTGAGAAAGTCACTTAACCTTTTAGAACATAAATGTTACCCTCCATGAGGTCAGAAGATCACACTAGGTAATTTCCAATTCCTTTTCAGCACTAAGATCCTCTCTTTGTAAAGAAGGAGAGGTGCTCTCTGATTCCAAAGGGCAGAGACAGTAGTGGGGAGCTGAGAGGAAACTGAAGTAGCTCTCTGCAGCGATCGTGCCAAGCTGCCCCAGAAGATCAGACCATTGCCGTTGCAAGTTCACTCCCTAGCATCTTGCAGCTGCAAGTGCCTGATGCTTCACAGGAATTTAGCAACCCCTCACCCCAATTAGTGCACCTGGCCAACCGAACAATTCCACAGGGGACAGAAGGGGTCCTTCCTGACCCTCTTGTGATCAGATCATGCCCTGAAGTGTGAAATGTGATTACCCTCTCCTAGCCTGCGTAACTGTCCAAGCAGTCAAAAGCAATACGGGAAGTCAAGGAAGGATTGGGATTGGTAGTGGTGTATGTGTGGGTTCTTCTATTTCCCAAGAACCCAAATAGGAAAATCCCTCCTTCAGTTTCACCCTGCATAATACTGGTTTCGTGATGTGAATTAAATTAAACACGTTATATTATGCAGGCTGTCTAGAATAACAACAAACCTCAGCAAAGGAAAAGATGCCATCAGTGAGTGGGCAAAGCAGACCAATAAAAAATGCATTCTGTCCTGTACCTGGAGGTATCAGATTTTATATATATATATATGTTAATGGTGTCCACCTATATATGAAGCTGAGTAGACACAATAAAGCCCAACAAGTGACTGCATCACTACAATGGCCA